CTGCCCAGTCCACATCCCCAGGGGGATTTCAAATCCATGTGGATGTGATACTTGTGGACACGGGTCGTGGCAGTGCTGTAGGAATGGTTGGACTTCCATGATCTCATAGGCTTTTTCAACCTCAACAATTCTGTGATTCTCCATAATTCCTTTGACTGGCCGTGAAATGTATGAGAAACCCTCAGGGCAGGGCCAAGGATAGGCAGGTTTCTGTGACCCTCTGTGAGAGATGTCAGAAACTCCTGTGTCAGCTCAGATTGGTGACATTTGGATGTTTGTGATTGTCCCAGTATTTTCCTGAAGAAGCTCCTGTTTGCTCCCTGTGGCTTGATCCTGTCCCAGCTCTGCACCAGCAGTGTCCCCAAAGCCTCTTGCAGGAGCCAGGCCCTGGTGTGCACCCACAGCATCACCTCTGAGGTCTTGGCTCTCTGCTGGCTCCCAGCCAGGACATCATTGTCCAAGGAATTTAGAGGGAACCTGGGAAGTGCTGTAAGGACTGAAATCAGCTCCAGCAATTGTAGGAGTTATTTTACAGGGTTTTGCTGCTCTCTGGAGTGTTATTCCCTGGCTGTGTCCCAGTGTAGCTCCACACTGACTTCACTCCTCTGACACGACAGCGGTCTCAGTTGGATTAGTTTAATTTAAGTATAAAAGTTTACACCATTACCTGCCAGACAGGTTTGGAGTTTGGGAGGGATTATCTGTTCTTCCTATTTGGAAACAAGATTATTTTCCTAGCTTACAGTTCTCATTAATTAATTGTCATCTAATTACTGAATGCCTCCCCCATTAAATTATAACCTTAACACTGATTCTGTTGGGGAGGGGGATTTATTTGGGCTTTTTAATTTTCTTTTATGTTTTGTTTTCTCTTTCTTACATATTTTTATTTTATTGTGAGCTCTCTGCCACAGCCCTGTGTTACTGACTTGCACTGATGTGCATGAGTGAGATCAGTGCACTCATGGCTTTATGAAGCAGAAGTTGAAGTAAGTTCCACAGACAAATCAAATCCACGCTTTCCAGCTTCCCACAAATCACCCTGTGACCAGGAGAGCTGGATGATGGGGTTGACATCACTCAGGAAACAAGGAGATGAAAGTTAAAGCAGCTGAATGAGCTTCCTTTGATATCTGGGGCACCAGGTCTTACCTGGTCAGGATTTGGCTCATTGTTAGTAGCCAACAATCCCTGTCCTCTCAAGAGATTTATGTAGTGCTTTTCCTGAGATGATTTTTCACAGCTTTTGCTATTTGTAAGAGGAGCACACAAAACCCTGCAGTGGTTGGAAGTAAAAAAATGATTGCACAGATCTCAAGAGTTATCTTTTAATTATTTTTAATTCTGAATGTGCTGTATCATAACTCAACCTCCTACTTTGCTGTTGTTCTTCCCTACAAGAGGAATGACCAATAAATTTTGCTCTGCAGGAGACCCCTGTAATTAGTCCCCTTATCACCCAGCTTGCCAGAGATGAGCCTCAGACATGAACTACAAGCATTTCTAGGTTAAAGCTCCTTGTAGATGTGATCAGGAAAGTCTTGGCCAGCAAGCACTGCTCTTTTGGGCATAAAGAGCCCAAAACTTGTGGTACGAGTTTGCTGGTGGAGGGAAAATTACCTGTGGTGTTGAATTCATCATCAGTTCTCAGTGAGTGTGTGCAGGGTGAAGGCTCCCAGACTCGTCCCCAGCCATGTAAAGACAAACTGGAGCCATGCCTTGGCCTTGCTTCCCAGAGGAGCTGTGGCTGCCCCTGGAAATGTCCAAGGCCAGGTTGGGGCAGCCTGGGACTGTGGAAGGAGTCCCTGCCCAAGGAACCAGATGAGCTTTAAGGTCCCTTCCAACGCAGACCATTCTGGGATTCCCTGATTCTGTGATGTTTTCAAGACTGCATTATCCATACACACAAAGTGTGGTGTGACTGATTTTGAGGCTTTCTTTGTGTATCATGAAATGCTACCAATGAAAAGTTTAGGATACTCTAAAGCCCATTTATAAAATTTGTCATATCCACTCATCCTAGCTAGGCATATATATTCCAACAATAAATGAACCTAATGGGATCTAATGCCTCGTAATTGTTCATCAGGCTCAGGAGGTTTGACAGCCAATTTCAATGTGAAGAAGGAACATTGCAGATTATATATTATAAAGTATATGCTGTTTAACTCTGATCACTTGCAATAGATGCTATTTACAGATTATTTACCTCAGGAAAACACACTGGCACAGTTACAGGGATATCCACCAGGCCCTGCTGGCTGCTCTGTTCTTTAAGAACACAAAAATCAATGTCCCACTTTGGAGCCGACCAGATTCTGCCCGTGAGTCATGTTCAGAGTCCAGTGAGGTCAGGAGAGGCCTCTGCTTTGTGCTTGGATTTCAAACCAAGCCTGGGGGCAACTGTGCTTTCCAGGATGTTCTGTTTTCAAGGAATGCAGCAGCAGGAAAAGCTTTTAAACATCAGGACATCCATGATTTTTGGGAGAGCTTTGGTGCGTGTCTATTAACAAAGCAAAATACAAACAACCACGTGGGGACAGGGAACATGAGCGAATATTCATCTTTGGGGGCATTTTGCTGTGAGGACAGCTGGACTGCAGGATGAACCCCAGAGATTTTCCTGTGTGAACAGTTTCTGTGTCGGTCTCTGACACGGGGCTGCCCGTGGCAGAGGAGCAGTGTTAGCTGGCTTTACAGCTCTGCAGTCAGGGACAGGTGCATGGCCCGGGGCCAGCAGTGGCTGGAATGTCCCTCCTCCCCACGGGGACATTGTGTGAACAGGGCCTGAGGAGGGGCTGCCTGGGAGGTGTGAGCCCCTGAGTGGGATCCTGAGGATGCTCCCCAGGCAGGAGAGCCTTGGGAAGGAGGATGGCTGTGCCCTGCTCACAGCTCCAGCTGATCCCTGCTCCTCCTGCGCTCTGTGCGGGGCCCGGCCTGCTGTGGGTGTGTGAGGGGGAGGGTGATGGATTCACCCCTGCCTTTCTCTTCCCCACGTTCTGCTGCACAGTCAGGCCCTGAGTTCCTTTCAGGGCGCTCTGCAGTTGCTTCTTGGTGATTTTGTTACCTGGCTGGTTTTTTTTTGGGACCTGTGGTGATGAGCTTTGCCACTGATACACTGAGTGAAGGGACACCTGAAATTCCCTTGGGCTGGGGGGCTCTGTGTGCCCTCAGGGAGCACAGGGGAGATTAGATGGAAACCTTTCTCCAGGAGTAGGAAAC